GAGATAATTTTTAGGATTATACCATGAATCTCTGTTGTGCAAATTCATGTGGTAAATTCACTCCTAAGGATTTAAGCTATAACCCCCACTAGCCTATGTACATTTTAACAGGGGAATATAAGTATACTGATTCCCCTGTTCTCCCACAAATTACAAAACAGGCACAGGCGCGTGCAGATGGCGATGTATATGACAAAATTCTGAATAACTCCTTTTCTCTAACAGTCCTTTATACCAAACTCATTTCTGCTAAAAGGAACAGAGGAATAGGATATATATTCTTGCTTTAGTTCAGAAGGAATAGGTAGCCTAGAAGTTAGGTACAGTATATATGGAGATATATATACATACACACATATGTGGAATACACAATATATGCATATATTTTTAGGCACATATAGCTAGATATATAGATAAACCAGTCACCAGTCCTTTGTTAAAAATTCCAAGTTAATTATATTAATACAGTTTAAATATATATGTAGATTTAGACATAGACAATAAAGGGGGCACTCTGGATAAACGTATTCCCTCAAACTTTAAATGGAAAAGTTTCAAGCTGCCTCTCCACCCACTTCCCCGTAAGACCGACAAAAATGGTGGGAAAGAATTAGTTGAAAGATCACAAACTACGCTTGGGGACTACATGTCTGATCAGTTACAAAATGCAGTGGAAGCTAAGATACACTTTGCTCTTGAACAATGTGGTACCTTACTCTATACCCAATCTCGTGTGCCACTCCTGAAATGTCTAATTCTTCCCACTTGACATCCATGCCCTTATACTTCCCCCTATTTAAAAACCAATCCATGCGAGAGTTTCACTTTTGGACCTCTCCTGGAAGATCTGCCATGGACAGCAGTTCAGGCTGCTCACTGAAACAGAGTATGCAGGTGAGGGAGCACATCAGGGCCCCAATTTAGTCCTAATTCCATTTGGCAGATTTAAAATGGTGCGGATTCCTTCTCACTCCTGTCACCGATAGGTGAAGTCTAATGTCCCCTTGTCTCAAGTCTTGGCAGACTCTGCAGTTGTTTGAGCAAAATATGGTGGCAATGATTCTGTGTCAGTTTACTTGTTTAAACATGAAGAAACAGGCAGCTGCAACTTTGTCTTGCTCAGAATATTTGCTCTTGGAACCCAACTACCATGCTAGGAGGAAGGCCAACATGGAGAGGAGCTGAAGGCCCAGGCAAAAGCCCCAGTTGAACTCCCAAACAATAGTCAGCACCAGCTTGCCAGCCTTCTGCATGTACCTGAGCCAATATGCTGCAGCTGATACTGGGTGGAAAAGGCGAGTCAGCCTAACCAAGTCATTTCCAATCCCAAATTCTGGAACACAATAAGTGACATTTTTGTAATTAAAAAAACAAAAAAAAAATCTTCTCCAATACCTACCTTACAACACCCAAACTCTTTACCATGCCATTTACAGTGCTTAACAATCTGACCCTGCCTAGCTTTCCATACTTCTCTCTTACTTCTCCTTTTGAATCTCCCTCTCTGGCTAGATTTGATGATTTCCTGAATACACTTCGAGTAATGCACACACTGTACCTTTTACCTGAGCTGCTCTCTCTGTCTCTACCCATCCTCTCAGATCACGAGCCACCTGCTTCTCAAAGTCTTCCTAACCACTTCACTTCATAGCTCTGTAACAGTCTGTGGGCTCTTATGGTCTCTAACTCTCAGCTGCCACTTATTTATAGTTTAGTTGTTAATCATTTTTTCTTGATATTTAACCAGTAACATATTGGGTTGTTGGAAAAGTCATGACGCATTTTTGCAATGAAAAACACATCATGACTATTCCGACAACCCAATAATTCAGTGTTACTCCAAATTTGATTCACAAATTGTTAGCCCTTTTAAGTACAGATATTAAGTAATGATTTAGAAACTTTTATAGCAATATGACAATGATTTTGTGTATGTTGAACCCAATCATAAAATAACTGCCTTTTTCTTTTTAAATTTCATTTTTCTAGTAATTCATTTTTTTCTAAAAAATACTTTCTTTTGCAGAGCAATTTTTACGTTTACAGCAAAATGGAGCAGAAAATACAAAGTTCCCATATACCCCAGCCCACTGTCCTTCCCCACTATCAACATTCCGCACCATCAAAGTGGCTCCTTTGCTGCAAACTATGAACCTACACTGACACATCATATCATGCAAAAATCTATAATTCACATTCAGGTTCATTTTTGGTGTTATAGTCTATGCGTTC